CTATGATTGCACCACTGCACTCCAGTCTGGGCAACAGAGCAAGACCCTATCTCAAAAAATAAATTTAATAAAATCAGTAAATAGATAGAAAGAAAGAAAAACCCTAACATGATAGTCTAAGTATAAATTGATTGAGAGAAATACATGCCTAAAGTATCATTTGGCTGGGCACAGTGCCTCATCCCATAATCATAGCACTTTAGGAGGCTGAGACAGGGACTGCTTGAGCCCAGGAGCTTGAAACCATTCTGAGCAACATAACAAGACCCTATCTCTAAAAAAATTCTGCCAGGCGCAGTGGCTCAAGCCTGTAATCCTAGCAATTTGGGAGGTCAAAGTGGGTGGATCATGAAGTTAGGAGTTTGAGACCAGCCTGACCAACATGGTGAAATCCCATCTCTACTAAAAATACAAAAATTAGCCGGGTGTGGTGACGTGCACCTGTAATCCCAGCTACTGAGAAGGCTGAGGCAGAAGAATTGCTTGAACCCAGGAGGTTGCAGTGAGCCGAGATTATGCCACTGCACTCCATCCAGCCTTGGTGACAAAGCGAGACTCCATCTCAAAAAAAATAAAATTATTTGCCGGGCACGTTGGCTCACGCCTGTAATCTGAGCACTTTGGGGAGCTGAGGCGGGTAGATCACCTGAGGTCAGGATTTGGAGACCAGCCTGGCTAACATGATGAAACCCCATCTCTACTAAAAATACAAAAAAAAAAATTAGACGGGTGTGGTGGGGGGGGTGCCTGTAGTCCCAGCTACTCAGGAGACTGAGGCAGGATAATCACTTGAACCCGGGAGGCAGAGGTTGCAGTGAACCGAGATCGTGCCACTGCATTAAGCCTGGGCAACAAGAGTGAAACTCCACCTCAAAAAAAGAGAAATTCTTCACTTGATCTTAGCCAAAAGGCCGAGAAGCGATAAAAGAGAAATTCTTAAGTAATTTTTTTAAAAGTATCGTTTAAATTTAGACTTTATTTTGAGAGAGGATCTCTCTCTGTCACTCAGGCTGGAGTGCAGTGGTGCAATCACAGCTCACTATAGCTTCAAACTCCTGGGCTCAAGTTATCCTCCCACCTTAGTGCATCCCTAACCCCATGCTTACCCCCACTCTGAGTAGCTGGGACTACAGGATGTGCTACCATGTCCAGCTAATTTTTTATGTTTTATTTTGTAGAGACAGGGTCTCACTATGTTTCCCAAGCTGGTCTTGAACTCCTGAGGGCTCAAGTGATCCTCCCTCCTCAGGTACCCGGAATGCTGAGATTATGGGAATGAGGCACTGTGCTCAGCCAGGGTTTTTCTTTGCAACATTTAAAAAATGGTTGGCACGATTTCCATTTCTGACATTGTATAGATTATAATATCTGAACAATCTTCCCAAAAAGCAACTAAAATGATAGGTTAAATGTAATTTTTAACTTTAAGATTCATCATGAGATGACACAAAAGTGAAGAGTTAGAATGACCTCAAGACAAACTAACCAAAAACAATTTTCCTTGAAACATTTTCTTAACTTCTGGTTTTGATTCCATGTCACTGGCCACTCCTCAGTCTTCTCGTTTCCTGGTTGTTCCTCTACCTCCTAACCTTTTAACAGTTAAGTGTTCTAAGACTTGGTCCTTGGATCTCTTCTCTTTTGTACTCCCTTGGCAATCTTATATCGTCTGTGTTTTCAATATAATTTGTACTATAATAAAATTATAAATTTAATCTCTCACTCAGATTTCCTCCTGTACTTCAGATTTGCCTCTCCAGCAGCCTATTTGACATCTTTCCTTGATTGTCTACAAGGCATCATATGGCCAGGCACAGTGGCTCATGCCTGTAATCCCAACACTTTGGGAGGCCGAGACTGATGGATTGCTTGAGATCAGGAATTCGAGACTAGCCTGGCCAACATGGTGAAACCTCATCTCTACTAAAAATACAAATAAATACAGGCATCATAATGTCCAAATACGAACTCAAGTCAATGGCAATTTCATTCTTCCTGTTGCTGAGGACCAAAACACTGGAGTCATCTTTGACCTCCCTTTTTCTCATATCCCAAGCAAGTAGGGGTAGGAAAGTGGAAAAGAAAAAGAAAGGACAAGAATAGCTCAATCCATCTAAAACAAGGTAAGAAAAGGAGAAAAGAGAAACAGAAAAATAGGAAATAAAAACCAAATAAAACAAAATCAAATGTATTAGTAATTAAATGTAAATGTACTCAATTTTCTAGCTAAAGGATGGATTGTCAAATGGCATTTAAAAACAAAAAACCGACCAAGCGTGGTGGCTCACGCCTGTAATCCCAGCACTTTGGGAGGCCAAAGTGGGCGGGTCATGAGGTCAGGAGATTGAGACCATCCTAGCCAACATGGTGAAACCCTATCTCTACTAAAAATACAAAAATTAGCTGGGCACAGTGGCGCATGCCTGTAATCCCAGCTACTCGGGAGGCTGAGGCAGGACCATCACTTGAACCAGGGAGTTGGCGATTGCTGTCAGCCGAGATAGCTCCACTGCACTCCAGCCTGATGATAGAGTGAAACTCTATGTCAAAAACAAAAACAAAAAAACTGTTGCCAGGCATGGTGGCTGGCACGTGCAATCCCAGCACTTTTAAGAGGCCAAAGCAGGAGGATTGCTTGAGCCAGGAGGTTGTTACCAGCCTGGGCAACATAGTGAGACCCCAAATCTACAAAAATTTTTAAAAAGTAGCATGTACCTGTTCTCCCAGCTACTCAGGTGGGAGGATCACTTGAGCTGAGGAGTTCAAGGCTGCAGTGAACCATATTTGTGCCAGTGCACTCCAGGCTGGGTAACAGGTGAGACCGTATCTCAAAAAAAAAAAAAAAAAATTAGCCAGGCGCAGTGGCACATGCCTGTAATATAAGCTACTTGGGAGGCTGAGGCAGGAGAATTGCTTGAACCCGGGAGGCAGAGGTTGCAGTGAGCCGAGATCTCGTCGTTGCACTCCAGCATGGGCAACAAAAGTGAAACTCTGTCTCAAAAACACTAATTAATTAATTCATTTTAAAAAACAAACAAAAAACTCTGGGGCCAGTGCAGTGGTTCACACCTACAATCCCATCACTTTGGGAGGCCAAGGTAGGAGGATCACTTGAGGCCAGGAGTTTGAGACCAGACTGGGCAACATAGTGAGACCGTGGACCCTTCTGTAAAAATCAAAAAATAAAAATAAGCAAGGCAGCCTGGCATGATGGCTCATACCTGTAATCCCAGTACTGTGGGAAGCTGAGGCGGGCAGATGGCCTGAACTCAGGAGTTTGAAACCATCCTGGGCCACACGGTGAAACCTTGTCTCTACTAAAACACCAAAATATTAGCCAGGCATGGTGGTGTGCACCTGTAATCTCGGCTACTCAGGAAGCTAAGGCGGGAGAATCTCTTGAGCCCGGGAGGTGGAGGTTGCAGTGAGCCGAGATGGCACTGTTGCACTCCAGCTTGGGCGACAGAGTGAGACGCTGTCTTGAAATAAATAAATAAAAATAAGCAGGGCATGGAGTTGTGTACTTGTAGTCCTAGCTACTCAGGAGACTGAGGCAGGAAGATCTCTTCAGCCTAGGAGGTTGAGGCCACAGTGAGCCAACATTGTGCCACTATACTCCAGCCTGGGTGACGTGAGACCTTGCCTCTAAAAGTTGTTTTATGTAAATTAAAATAAAAATAAATACAAAAAAGCTAAATCTGGCCACATGGTGATTACAAAATATACATGTAAAATATAAGAACACAGAAAGGCTAAAATTCAAAGAATATAAATATATAATATAGGTAAATTCGAATCACAAGAAAGCTAATTTAACTATATTTCTGGGCCGGGCACGGTGGCTCAAGCCTGTAATCCCAGCACTTTGGGAGGCCAAGGCGGGTGGATCATGAGGTTAAGAGATCAAGACCATCCTGGTCAACATGGTGAAACCCCGTCTCTGCTAAAAATACAAAAAATTAGCTGGGCATGGTGGCGTGTGCCTGTAATCCCAGCTACTCGGGAGGCTGAGGCAGGAGAATTGCCTGAACCCAGGAGGCGGAAGTTGTGGTGAGCCGAGATCGAGCCATTGCACTCCAGCCTGGGTAACAAGAATGAAACTCCCATCTCAAAAAAAAACTATATTTCTAGCAGACAAAATAACTTTTAAGTAGAACGAATTACTAATCACTACAAAATAAAATTATTACAAAATAATAAAAGGATCAATTAACCAGGAAGATATAACAATTCTAAACTAGAAGCACCTCAGTAACACAGCATTTAAAAATACATAAAAGCAAAACTTGACAGATCTTCAAGAGATAATGACAAATTTATTATCGTAATAGATTTATTAAAATACCTTTCCCAGTACTAGATAGTTCAAACAGGCCAAAGAAAGTCATGCCATATATAGAACATCTCGAACAGCACAATTAGTTGTCTGGCCTAATAGAAATAGAAAATTGGAGAATAAGCATTATTTTCAGGTATACATGGAATATTACAAAAATTAACAACCTTCCAGGCCATAAAGTTAGCCTCACAAGTGTCTAAATGCAATTAACTTAGAAATCAGTTACAAAAAGATAAAGGGAAAAAAAGTATGTTTGGAAATTTTTTAAATGCACTTTTCAACAACTTGTGGATCAAAGGAGAAATCAGAAAATACTTAGAAGAAATAAATGGTAATGAGAATATTATGTATCAAAACCTGTAAGATACAAGTGGTGCTTAGGAGGAAATTCATAGCAGTATTGTTTACATTAGGAAACAAATAAGGCTCAAAATAAAGACGTAAGAAATTGGAAAAACAACAATAAACACAAAGAAAATAGAAAGAAGGAAATAAGAGAGAAATTAATGAAGTAGAGAAACATTCAGTAGAGAAGATCAACAAAGGCAAAAGTTAGTTATTTAAAAAGACTAATAGCCTAACTTGCAAGAGTAACCAAGAATCAAAAAAAGAGAAATTAGAAAACCATAACTAAATGTGCTACAGATATTAAGCAGGTAAGAGTTATAATAACTTTTTGTCAATAAATATGAAAAATTAGATAAAATGAATAGATTCCCAGAAAAATACAATTCACCAAAAATGGCTGAAGAAGAAATAAACAGCCTGAAAAATTAAAGAATTTGAACCAACTTAAACTTTCCGCAAAGCAACCTCCAGGCCCCAATGGCTTCACCGGTGAATTATTTGAGTCAATAGAAAACTGGATAATTGAACTGTGGTAGAATTATACAATGGAGTGCTTCTTAGCAATGAAAACAAACTACAACTACATGCATCAACATTATTTTTTAGTTTTTATTTATTTTTTTTGGAGATAGAGTCTTACTCTGTCACTCAGGCTGGAGTGCAGTGGTATGATCTTGGCTCACTGCAACTTCTGTCTCCTGGTTCAAGCGATACTCCTGTCTCAGCTTCCCGAGTAGCTGGCATCACAGGCACATGCCACCATGCCCAGCTAATATTTGTATTTTTAGTAGATATGGGTTTTCGCCATGTTGGCCAGGCTGGTCTCAAACTCCTGACCTCATGTGATCTGCCCGCCTTGGCCTCCCAAAGTGCTGGGATTACAGGTGTAAACTCCACCATGCCTGGCCCAATATTTTTTTTGTCTTGCTTCTTTTTTTTTTGGAAATTACTGCAGTATGTCTTGCTTCTTTTTAAAAAAAAAAATTTTTTTTTGGAGACAGGTTCTTGCTCTGTTGCTGAGTCTGGAGTGCAGTGGCATGATCATGGCTCACCACAGCCTCAACCTCCTGGGCTCAAGCAATCCTCCAGGCTCAAGCGATCCTCCTGCCTTGGCTTCCTGAGTAGCTGGGACCACAGGTGTGCACCACCACACCTAGCTAATTTTTTTTGTTATTGTTTTTGTGTGAAAACGAGGTTTCACTATGTTGTTCATGCTGCTCTCCAACTCCTGGGCTCAAGCAATACTCCCACCTCAGCCTCCCAATATGTGTAAAAAACAATTTCAAACAGAAGAATAATTATTCTGGAAAGACTGTCTTTTTCTGTTTGCAAGCTGAAAAGAGTTCCCTGATAGTCCTTAAATTCTGTAAAAGAGAATCTGTGAGGACAGAAAGTTCAAAATGGGAAACACTTCGTGGCTCAGGACCTTTTAATGAGTAGAGAGTGTATAGGACCTGATCCGTCCTTCTGGCTCACCAGCCTTTCCTAAGCACACAGCAAACATGCTTGCTTCCGGCCACTCTCCACCCTCAGGTCAGGAGGTAACTGAGGTCTTGGCAGCTGCCCTTCAGTCCTGCCCCAAACCAACTGAGCATCTGGAAGTTAAACCAAAGGCCAGCAATGCCCTGACTTCGTGAGTAAGCTCCTGTGAACTGAGAGAAGACACGGTGAGGCCAAAACAAGTGCTCATGGGACATACTACTGCAAAGAACAGAGCAAAAAGAGTGATAAGAGATAAGGAAAGCCCAGGAAATCTTGTTTAGGGCCAGCCAGTGAATTCCCCTTTCTCTCTCCAGTCCCCCAAATTTCCCATTGCTCTTAGTGTCAGAGGCTTTTAGACTCGGGCTTGGAGAAGCATGAAGAGGAGGGTGTTCTATGGCCCAAAAGAGAGTTTGTTTTTGTTGTAATTGCTGTTTTTTTTTTTTTGAGATAGAGTCTCGCTCTGTGGCCAAGGTTGGAGTGCAGTGGCACAATCTCAGCTCACTGCAACCTCCGCCTCCCGGATTCAAACAATTCTCTGGCCTCAGCCTCCTGAGTGGCTGGGACTATAGGCGCATGCCACCATGCCCTGCTAATTTTTTGTAGAGACAGGGTTTCACCGTGTTAGCTAGGATTGTCTCTATCTCCTGACCTCGTGATCTGCCCGCCTCGGCCTCCCAAAGTGCTGAGATTACAGGCATGAGCCACCATGCCCAGCCTCATTTTTGGTTTTGTTTTTGTTTTGAGACGGAGTTTCTCTGTCGCCCAGGCTGGAGTGCAGTGGTGCAATCTCAGCTCACTGCAACCTCCAAACCTCTCCCTCCCCAGTTCAAGTGATTCTCCTGCCTCAGCCTCTTACAGGCATGTACCACCATGCCCAGCTAATTCTTGTATTTTTAGTAGAAAGGGGGTTTCACTATGTTGGGCAGGCTGGTTTCAAACTCCTGACCTCGGATACTCTGCCCACATCCACCTCTCAAAGTGCTGGGATTACAGGCATGAGCCACTGTACCCAGCCCCAAAAGAGAGTTCAGCTTATTAAGGGCAACCAGTTCCAGGCTTTTGTACATGCTGTGGCCTCTGCTTAGAATGTTTCCCCTTCATCTTGTTCTGGCTTGCTCCCTTTAAAAAAAAAAAAAAAAAAATTAGAGACAGGATCTTACTGTGTTGCCCAGGCTGGAGTGCAGTGGCTATTCACAGGCATGATCATTGCATACTACAGCTTGAACTCCTGGACTCAAAGAATCCTCTTGGCTCAGCCTCCCTAGTAGCTGGGACTACAATTGTGTGCCACTGTGCCCAGTTACCTGGCTAGCTTCTATTCCTTCTTTGGATTTCAAATTATGGACCATTTCCTCTTAGAAGTGAAACTCCCACCACCCAGCCACCACCACCCCACCTTCATCAACTCTTACCACTCCACCTTACTGCTCTCCAAGAAGAGGTTAGAAGCCCTGCTCCCATGGCCTGTTCTTCCTTTATCAGAACTATCCCCATTCTAACAGTTGTCTATTTATTTGTCTACTTTCCCACTGGGATTTAAGCTTCCTGAGGCAAGGGACCATGGATGTCTTACTACTGTATCTCTAGTACCAAGATATGCATGATAGGTCCTCAGAAAATGCTTGATATATAGATGAATAAAATGAAGGAATGGCAGAGAGGACAATTGGCTCCACATGTCTAGAGTGTGGTTCTCAGCAGCCTAAGGGAGGAGCCTTCCAGGCAAGGGAAAGGAGCACCAGGCTTTCTCCCTTCCTCTCCTTCCAGCTCCTTCCCATTTCTTTTGCCATGGCACCACCCACCCCCAACCAACACCCATCGCCACCTCCCATTTGGTGAGAGTTTGAGCTCCCTCTACTGACCAAACTTCAGAACCACAGGTAGCCAAGCCCAGGCACTCTTGCCAGTTATTCTTCGCTAGGAAAAGACCCTTCTACACCCCAGCACTCTGAATCTAGGATCCCTAAGGGACTGGAGTAAGGAGAAAACAGGGCTTGTCAACACACTGGAGAGTTCCAAGGTCTGAGCCCACACCTCCCATCCTCAACATCAGCAGCACTTCACTCAAACCCTCACCTCATGCTGTTTCCTGGGGTCTCCACTCCCAGACTCCTACTCCAGCTAATTCACGGAAATGTTGATTTCTGGAGCCTTTGGCCGATACATCAGCTCTGACTGTGGAAGACAGATCCCAAGACGGATTGAGGATACACAGAAAAACAGATAATGAGAGATAACGTAGAGGAAGGGACCCACTGACCGACTATAAACCCACAGTGAGACAAAGATCAGAGTTGAGAAAGACAGCCCACTTGAGTTGAAGCCTCAGCCCTTTCCACCCATATCAAGGGCCCATGTCCTATGAAGAAAGATTTCCCTCACCCCTTCAGTCTGCCTATGTCCATACACAGCTAAGGGAAGTGACTGTTGACCAGATCTTCAGGCTTAATGGGGATATTATTTAGGGACAGCTCCTGGACAAGAATACTCTCCCAAGCCCTGCCACATTCCCCCAAGAGGACCCAGTCCAGAGCTCACATCTTCACTGTCATTTCCACTGAACGAGTGCTCTGACTCCAGTCCCTTCTCAGGGATGCTTCTTTCCTCCTCTGGCATCAGCTCATCCAGCCAGAGGAGTTCCTGTGGTGAGAAGACCCTCTCCAGGGCCTTTCGGACCCCCACAAGGCCCAACAACTGCAGGAATAGAAACACAGCCCAGGCCTGTCAGCAACAGCAATAGGAACATTAACAATAGAAACAAGTATTGAGGCTCAAGCCTGTAATCCCAGCACTTTGGGAGGCCAAGGAGGGTGGATTACGAGGTCAAGAGATCGAGACCATCCTGGTCAACATGGTGAAACCCCGTCTCTACTAAAAATACAAAATATTAGCTGGGCACGGTGGAGCGTGCCTGTAATCCCAGCTACTCAGGAGGCTGAGGCAGGAGAATTGCCTGAACCCAGGAGGCAGAGGTTGCGGTGAGCCGAGATCGCGCCATTGCACTCCAGCCTGGGTAACAAGAGCGAAACTCCGTCTCAAAAAAAAGAAAGAAAGAAAGAAAGAAAGAAACCTGTATCAAGCATTTCCTATGTGCTAGGCATTGTGTATCAGTTTCACTGAATGCTAACACATTCTTATGAGGTAGATAGAATAATTATTCCCATTGTACAGAGAAGGAAGCTGAGGCCCCGAGTGATTAGTTACTTCCCAGAGGTCACACGTCTGGGATGTAGTAAGCAGATTGGTTCTACTGCAAAGCCTATGATTCTTAACTTCCTCACTAAGAACAAGGCTAGAAGCCACCTATGTTATCACCTCACTGAGTCACAAAAGTGTCACGATTTCCTCTCCCAAGACCTCAGATTTCTTCTGTGTTTTATATTCCTACGTGTGGTTGATCACTCCAAAGAGGTTGGGAAAAGGGGTGACTCAGGTGTCTCAGGACTAGCCCAAACCTAGGTATCACTCTGCCATCTTTTTCTTTGTCTTAGTATTCCCAACCAGGGAGAGCCACAGCGAGTGAGAGGGGAGATTCTTCCTCTTGCGGAGGCCTTGGCCACCCTTCCAGACTCAAAGTCCCCCATGACCCTCTAGGACACAGCCCAACCCTGCCTCAGGTTACCATGAGGGGGAAGATGATGGCTGCAGGGGTAGACTTGATTATCCAAAGCAACCCCAGACAGGCCAGCTGGATGGCTGTGAAGAGGTGGACCCTGGTCAGAGGCACATGCCGTAAGAGTAGCAGGTCTGGCTGGTGTTTTGCTGGCATCAACAACAGCTTTACTCTCTTAGTGAACTAGGGGAACAAGAGGAAAAAGAAAGCAAGGCACTCAGGTAGCCTGACAGGAGGGTGTCACTGATAGCTATCTTAGCCCAGCACAGGGAGCAGGGGTAGGAGCATGGCAGCCGAGTCCCTGAGCCCAGGAGAGACAGAAAAAAGACGATAAGAGGGGAATTGGCAAGTGTAGGCAGGAGATGCCAGCATAAAAGAAAAAAGGAGTGGGGTTGCTAATTAATTTTTTTTTTTTTGGCTAGGTGATTTTAATGGGCTCACCTGAATGCTGCTAAGTGCTGCCACCCCCATGTACAGGAAGATGCCATAGAGCACAGGCATTGGGACGAACTGGTAGAAAGAAGCAGAGAATTGGCAAAGTTTACCTCTGCCAACCTCCCAGATTCCCTACGATGCCTAGATGCCCTAGATGCCTCTAGCATCTAGCATCCAGGTCTGCCCAGGTCTTGCCTTTCCTTTCACACTTTGCATACCTAATCTTGTTGAATCCTCAAATCAATCAGATGAAGCAAATGTTATTATTGCCTTCATTTTACAGATGGGGAAATTGAATTTCAGAGGGATAAGTAACTTTGTCCATTACCTGGCCTCCCACTCCAATCTTACCTATCACATTTCCCTCTGTTCTTTATGCTCCTACTATACTAACCTCCTTTCCTTCCCTCAACATGCCCGTTTGTTCCTACCCCTTGCAAAGCCTTTTGTTTTGCTGTTCCCTCCACCTAAAAGGCTCTTCTCCCAAACTTTCTCATGACCAGTTTCTTCTTGCTACTCATGCCTCATCTCATGATACCCCCCATGGGTCTTCACTGACTTTTTGACTTCAGGCCCAATCTTAAGTAGCCCCTGGCACTCTTAATCATCTTATCCTCTCTTATTTTTCATAGATGTGATCACTATCTAAAGTTATCCTATTTTCTTGTTTTATTTTATTTTTTGAGACAGAGTCTCACTCTTTCACCCACGCTGGAGTGAAGTGGTGTGATCTCGCATCACTGCAACCTCCACCCACCAGGTTCAAGCAATTCTCGTGTCTCAGCCTCCCAAGTAGCTGGGATTATAGGCACTTGCCACCATGCCCAGCTAACTTTTATATTTTTAGTAGAGCCGAGGTTTTGCCATGTTGGCCAGGCTGGTCTCAAACTCCTGACCTCAGGTGATATACCCGCTTTGGCCTCCCAAAGTGCTGGGATTACAGGCGTGAGCCACCATGCCTGGCTCTTGTTTTAATTTTTTAAATCTTTCTCCTTTCACCATATTGCAAGGTTGGAAAAATGATGTCTTTTGGCCACCATTGTGTCCCCAGTACCTATAACAGTGCTTGGCATATGGGTTTTTGTTTGTTTTTTTTGTGTGTGTGTGTGTTTGTTTTTTGCTTTTTGAGACAGGATCTCACTCTGTTATCCAGGCTGGAGTACAGTGTCACAAACATGGCTTATTGCAGCCTAGAACACCTGGGCTCAAGTAATGCTGCCACCTTAGCCTCCCAAGTAGCTGGGACTACAGGTGCACACCACCACGCCCAGCTAATTTTTGTATTTTTTGTAGAGACAGAGTTTTGCCATGTTGCACAGGCTGGTCTCAAACTCCTGAGCTCAAACAGTCTGCCTACCTCGGCCTTCCAAAGTGCTGGGATTACAGGTGTGAGCCACTGCACCTGGCCTAGCATATGGTTTATACTCTAAATGTCTATGAATGAGAGTCACCCAGTTAGTAAGTGGCTGATCCGGTTCATCTGGCTCTTTCCCTACTCCACTGTCACCCAGCTTTCATGACCTTTCCCTTCCCTAACCTCTTGTTGTCCTGCCAGTGACTCTTGTCTGACATTCTTCACACCTTCCTTGACTGCTTTGCTACCTTGGCTCATTGAACCTTTCTGCTATTACTTGTTACTTAATTTTCCCTTGTATGTATGTTGCTGGTAGGGGCTTGGTTCCATGTTTCTTTTCAATATTCCCCTAAGCCCCACTTCTCCCAGGTGCCTAGCAGTCTTGCATATGGCACATATTCTATATACCTCTGGTGAAGGAGAAGTGAAGGCTTTTTGCCTCAAAGTTTTTCTGGGGTATGACAGTCACACCTTTTTTTTTTTTTTTTTTGAGACAGTCTTGCTCTTGTCATCCAGTGATCACCACTCACTGCACTCTCAAATTCCTGGGCTCAAGTGATCCTTCCACCTCAGGCACGCACCACCATGCCCAGCTACTTTTTAAAAGTTTTTGTTTGTTTGTTTGCTTGTTTTTAAGACGGGGTTTCACCACGTTGGTCAGGCTGGTCTTGAACTCCTGACCTCAGGTGATCCACCCGCCTTGGCCTCCAAAGTGCTTGGATTACAGGTGTAAGCCACCACGCCCGGCCCTTTTTTTAGTTTTTGCAGAGGCAGGGTCTCCTTATGTTGCCCACTCTCAAACTCCTGCACTCAAGTGATCCTCCCACCTTAGCCTCCCAAAGTGCTGGGGTTACAGGTATGAGCCACCACACCTGGCCTGATCATACTCTTAGTCTCAGGTTTGTTGGGAGGCTAGAGCAAGGATAGCACTTAGACCCTAGGGGATGGTGGTGGCACACTCACACCTTGCTCCTCTGGATAGAAAGCCCACTGGATAAGAGTTTGGGTTCTCAGACAGATCTGAAAAACCGGCACTTCTGATGGGCTCTTGCAAGTTACTTTGCCTCTTTAACCTTCAGCTGCCTCATTTGTAAAGTACATATTCCTCTCAGGATTGATGTGAGGATTAAATGAGACCACGTATGGAGAAAACTTAACAGAGGGCCTGGCACACTATAAGTGTTCAACTACTGTCAGTTCTTGCTGTGCTTCCTATTATTACTGCACTGACCCTGATCCTTGCTTGTCTAACAAAGGTACCTTGAGCACAGGTGCCAGGAAGATGGAGACTCCTGTAAGGATGAACACCACCAGGCCTGTCAGCCTCTGCTCCCTGTAGGAAGAGGGAGGAGTTAGCTGGGGTCTAGGAGAGTGAGAGCCCCTGGGGTACACAGACTGGAGATCCTGGCTGAACACCAGTATGGACCCTGGCAGCAAGAGGAAACTAGAGGAATACCCCAGTAGGTCACCTGGAGCGATGGGCCCTTAACTTGATGTGAAACATTGGTGGAGAGGAAGGGGCAGAGCACTTCAAGGTGAGAATCCCAGACCTCTCCATCAATTTAAGTTCATAATTGCTCCTCATTTTTATTTTGATGGAAAATTAGCAATTTTTACACTGCCATAAAGACTTACATTTCACAATTTATAAAGTTGATTTCATATACTTTAGATACTTGGACTGTTTTCAACAGTTCCAAAATTGCTTTTAGGGTGGACTCCTTTGTAACTTCTACATTGAGTGAGGATTCTTAGGTGGCACCTGACCCTCCACTTCAGCCCTGGCTGCCTCTAGCTTTGCATGGATGATGCTCCTCTTGAGGCCCCTCCCCGTCCCCAAGGCTGAGGGAAGAGAGGGGAAGATCTGACTCACCCATCTCAGAGCCCAGAACACACTCATTCTGCCACTGCAGTCCTTGTGGGACACCAGCTTAGAATTTAAGCTGCCCAAATAACTCTTTCATGTTCCCCATTGCCCTACCTTGCTACCCACCTCTTACTCTGCTTCCTAAATACTGCCCTCACCTGATACCCAGGAAGTTGGGGAGCTCCCCGGGAGCACAGGCTCTGCTCTCTCTCCGAAGACTGTCCATGTGAGCCAAGGAGATGACAGTGGCTGAGACATACCAAGGCAGTCCAAGCGCTGATGTGAGTAACATCAGCATAGCCACACAGAAGAGGTCCAGGTGGAAGCCAGCTCCCTTCTGCAGGTAGTGGTGGGGGCAATGAGGATGAAGCTAGCCCAGGCCCGGGCTCTCTGTCCTCTGAGGTAGGAGATGGGGAGCCTAGACCCTCCCCTGGAGCTTCGGTTCCTTGGTCTAGGGCCTTACCTTCAGTCTGTATTCTACGCGGTTGAGGATGACTGCTGTGATCTGCTGGTCCATGAAGATGAGGATAGACAGCAGTAGGGCAGGCAGGGCAGCTGCCACACTCCACCACCAGTGGTTGGCTCCAAAAGGTGACACCAGCCAGCCACGCCCAGGGAGTGTGGGCTGGGGGAGAGCATTTCATGGACAGGTTGGAGAGGGTCTCCCAAGAGCATTTCACCTGCACACCTCAACCTTGACATTCTTCCACTATCTGCCCCCACCCCAAGACATTAGATGCTAGTGAGGTATGTGTGCACAGGTGGTTCAAAGCATCCTAGTGCCTTAAAAGACAGCGGAATGAAGGAAACCAGCCCTGAGGTCAGGCTGGAACCAGGGGCTCTGGACTTTGGTTCAGCGTCCCTCCCTCCCTGGAAGAGAAGAAGGTAGCAGATATGGCCTGCATACACTTCTTGATGTACTCCTTAGAGATCTCTCTCCCCCTCTCCAGGGTGGGGCAACTCAGGCTCAGACCTGCCTTGATCTGGGGCAGGGACAGGGCTGGGTGTGTCAGCGTCAACTCTGATTACAAGCGGATGTGTGGGGGAAGGGGCCCTAGTTGCTGCCCTAGTTGGAGTGCCCCGCTCCCCTGTCTTGGAGGACTTTGGAGAGGTGGTCTCCAAATGCACAGACAAAGACTAGAAGTCAGTGCTAAGCTTTGTCCTGCACACTGTCATGCCCTGGAAAGGGAGTTCCAGCTTTCCTGGATCAGAGCAGGCAATAAGGGGTGTGAAGAAGAGAGTGAGGAGTAGTGGGGTGGGCAGGGCCACACCAAGGGTAGGACGAACCCATAGCAACAATATCTAACATTTATTGAAGATTTGGTATATGCTAAGCACATGGTGAGTGCTTTCCACCATGATCTTCTGTAAACCTCAAAACAATCTATAGGGTAGCAACTATTGTCATTTTATTATTTCCATTTTATAGATGAAGAAATTGAGCAAATATGCATTAACTTGCCTAATGCATAGCTGGGAAGTGGAAGAACTGGAACTCAAACCCAGAGCTGGCTGACCAGAACCCATTCTCTTAACCCATACCCTGTAATAATAGCTACTATGTATTCTCTGTACTCACGTGTCTGCTGCAATACCTCATTTAATCCTCACAGCAACCTTGTGAGGCCATTATTATTACTATCTCTAGCTTATGAGTGAAGAAAAAACCTTAGCTAAGAGAAGTGTGGGATTTATGCATTTTCCTTCCCCGTAGTCTGCTGGCCCTGCTTTCCCCTCTGGTCCCCCAAACTTCTTCCCTTGCTCTCACCTTGAACTCTCTGGGCACCATGAGCTTTGGTGTGGCTAGGCCCAGGAAAGCATCAAGGCCACAGCCCAGCAGGATGGCCAGGACGGAGGAGAAGTCGCTGAGCCCTCTGCGTACCTGGCACACAGTGGACACTCAGTCAGGTCCAGGCCTGCCATCCCCATTTTTCCATACCACTTCCCTTTCACAGATAGGACCCAAAGCCTAGAGTCAGGCCTCTCCCACAGAAAGGTGACACTCACCACAGAGGGGAAGAAGCGGCTGGTCTTTACACACTTGAGGGCCATAGCAAAGAAGAAGGAAGTAAGGAAGAGGAGGAGGGAGAAGAAGGCAATGTCTGGGACTGTATGACAGCCAGGGCCACGAGGGTGGCCTCCCTGCCGTATGCACTCAGGTGGCGGCAGCAAGGACGCATTGATCAGGCCTAGGTCCTGTAGAGAGGAGGGTCAGGAATGCAGTTATAGGCAACGGAGTAAATGTCCTGCTCTCTTGGACCCACCTCAAGGGAGGAGGGACTCAGAGATTCCAAGGGTCCAGGATGGGAAGTTCCCAGCTGTAGGAAATGGCTAATCCTCACAGACCTATGAAAATTTCCTTAGCCTATGTAGGAAGAGCTAGGAACCACTGACTGCCTTGGCCTCCACCCTTTCCTTCCTAGAACCTCCAGGAGCAGTCCCTCACCATGCTTAAGATGTCATCTCTGTCTTTTGGCCTTGTCCTTGTCCATTGAGACTCATTTCCTGGGAAGCAGAGAATAATTCAGGTGTATGTTCCCTCCCCTGGGGACCTTCTCCAGCCCCATAAAATTCTAATCTGATGGGTCCAGCTGAACCAGAGTTCTTAATTTCGACTCATCTGTCTGCTGACTCCATCATTACCAAGTGTGTACTTCTCAGGACATTGTCTCATGCCCTTGTCCTCTCAAGTTCTTTTCCCATCTGCATCCCTGGTACCAAGCACAAGACCTGGCCACAGCAGATGCTCAGCAAATGATGGCTGAATGGAGGAGTAAACAAATCTGTGTGTTTCCACCAGGGCTAGAACTGGTCTTGTTCATGCCTAGCACTGATAGAAGAACATGTAGAGAGGCCACTTCTGAACAGTGTGGTGTTGCCTTCCATGTGGAAGGATATATGCAAGTGTAATACTCCAAGCCTCTCTCCACCTGGCCGGCCACTTTCACCAAGAAGACCAGTGATTTATTTGACTGGTGATTTCCGGAGATGAAGCTGGGCATACCTGGCCGTGCCCCTTTCTCTCCCCTCTCTCAAGTATAAGCTGCCTGTTGACATGTTTAGCTTTGCTCCTCTGGGGCAAGATAGTCTCAACCCAATGCTTCCATGACTGGTGGGTAAGTCAATCTAATTTTGGCTTCATCATTAGGAAGCCCATTCACCCATAGATATAACCCATGTATCAGTGTTGTCAGAAAGGAAGATGACATTGGGCCTTCTGTTGTCTTATTTCTCAACTGATTCAGAACCAGAGTGGAAATAGTACCGCCGGTTATTAGGTGAGTAAGTACACAGCATTTTGCTGAACTTAATCAGGGGGGATAGTAAGGGTGCAACACCTCCCCTTCCCTACATCCTTCTTCACCTGGCCAAGGTCCCTGTTTCCCTTACCCACCTCCTGGGCCTGGGTATTGGCAGAGGCACCCATAGGCAGAGGATCCAGGCTTCTGGATAGGATAGGTATGGGTCAAGTTCAGCATTTTGCCCACAGCATCATAAATGAAGATGAGGCTGATGAGGGCACAGAAACCTTCCTCAGTGAAGCGGGTGAAGTAGCGTACCAGCACGCTGGCCTCTGTGGCCACCAGCACCAGGCAAAAGGTAGCCACCCAGATGCCCACCCATAGGCGGAAGGGCAGGTAGTCCAGGCTGTAATCTCTGTGGTGATGAGAGACAGGCAAGGCTTAGCAGGGCTTTCTGCTTCCCACCAAACCCAGGTCAGGTGTCCCTCAACCCAAGCAGGTAGCTCCCACCCTCTCCTATTCACCCAACCAGGAACAGGCTGACCATGGCACTAGTGGGAGTCTGGCGATGGTGGGGAGCTCTCCTACCTGCTGAAAGAGAAGAGCAGGCGCTCAAAGACCAGCACTGGCCCGGTGCTGCTCAGGATGGTGAGGGGCTGGCCTGCCATCAGGCAGAAGGCAGCTCCAGCTACTGCTGTGCCCAGGAAACTTTCCATCACTCCCTGGAAGCCAACAGGGACTCAGCACAGAACCCTGGAGTCTTCAGGACGGGACCCCAAGCTTTGGGAGAGCCTCCTTAACTAACCCATAGTCCCAGGGGAAGGGACGGACTGGGGGCCACCAAAGCTTGTGCCTGCCCCCTTCACAGAATCCTACCCACCTGGGCACCATCAGTGGCATCTCCCAGCAAACCCCCGAAAGTAATGGCATTAGTGACAGTGGCCAGGTAAATGTAGAGTACAGCTGAGAAGCACTGGAGATGCAGGGCGTCCAAGAAATCGCTGGGGTACCACGGAGCCTTCCTGCGCACGTCCTGAATAAGGCCCCCAAACAGCCTCCCGCCCGAGGGTCGTCAGTGATCCAGGTTTTCACACTCCCCACCCTCATCCCTGTTACTTTCCCTGTGGCTGGGTGAGCCCCTCCCACAGTGAGCAGACACCTCCTGTTTCCCTGTGACTCCTCCCCTCCCCCAGGTCCCTACCCTTGCTTCCTCCCAGCTCCCCTCACCTGCCAGTCCGCTGCAACTCAGGGCTGGGGGCGTGCGGGTCAAGGCGGTGCCGGTCCTCAGCCGAGGTCAGGCACGGGGCTTCCGGACCTTTGATCTCTCGCTGTTGCGGGGGAAGCCTGAGGAGGAAGGAGGGAAAGGCCAGGTTGCCTGAGGCTCTCCGCCAGTCCGCGACTCAGTCCAGAGCTCGTGGCGCCCTGCCCCCTGGCGGCACGTGTCTCTGCCGGCGAGGGAACCATGGCGACACACGGGCCTCAAGAAGATCCAGGTCAAATTGCGACCTGTGAAAGCCAGACTCAGGCAGGGAAGGTCTTTGTTCAGGTCTCTTAGCGAGAGGTTAGTCCAGCAGAACTCAGAGTTAGGTCTGCCTGACTCTAAATCCAAAGACAGGTCCCTATTTCTTTCCTGGGACTCCGTCCCTCTTCAGCAATGGAACTAGACCCAGGGCCTATGGGCAGGAATCTGTATGGGATGATGGCTCCCAGGTACCTTTTGTACTGAGATGGCAGACATTTGGGCGGGGGAATCCGGGCTGTTGGGTCCCACCGACCTGGGGGAAGCACTGTCACCTCCTCTAGGAAGGCATCTAGGGCTGTCAGAACGTCATGAAGGTTGCTGGCTCGACGAACTGACCACTGGAATTGCTGGGGATGGGGGCACAGAATGGGTGATAAGTGCAAATCTGGTCTCTTACATGCATTTTCGTAGTCTCAAAAAAACTAGACACAAGTCACATAAGCAGACAAGTCATTCACATTTTCATTTATGCATGCATTAATTCATTCATTCATTCGGTGGGTATCTATTGAGTGTCTATAGTGTGCCAGCATTCAGCCAGTAATGGGGCTGCACTAGGAGCCAAGGAGACTTCAGTCTCAATGCTCACTCTGCCTCATTGATGTACTTAGGCAGACATACAGAGTCCACACACACACACTCACGTGAGCCTATGCATGCATGTGTGCATGTGTACACACACAGCTATACATGCACACACACACCCCTGCCCAGCTCACCGGGTCACTGAGGAGGACAGCTGCTGCCCGGGCCATTTCATGGTAGCCTTTTCCCAGCATAGGGGGGCCCAGGAGAAGGCAGAAAAACCTGAGGGGGGAACCAGGCCCCAGAGATTCACAAGCTGCTTTCCCACAGGGCAGCCCTGGCCTCTGACGCTTAGCTCTGACCTGTCAGCTCCCATACACACACATATTTGCCTGCCTACCCTGCAGTCCTGACTACTACTTCTTCCCCAGACCCCTGAGTACCATCTTCCCCACAGCCTCGGAGAATGAACTGAGATCCTCCTTCCCTTTCCCAGTAAAGACCCTCCTAGGCTCCATGATCCCTGACTCCCACTCAGTAGCCTCACCTGCTTGGGAGGGACACCTCGGTAAGGGACCCCAATACCACAGGGTCCCGCAGTCGAACAAAGGCTCCCAGTGGCTGCTCTAGGAAGCCCAGCTCCCCTGCCAGCACAGTCCCTGCCTCAGCCCCTGGAGGCAGCTTCTGTCTCAGAGGGTTCTGACGCTGGGTGGGGGTTCAAGGAGACACAGAGTATGAAAGGTTATTTGGGGAGGGTAAGATTTCAACGGATAAGAAATCCAGTAGAAAGTAGACTTCTGTTAATTCCTAACTCCTCTCCCAGCCGCTAGAGAGGGAGCCCAAGGAAGGGCCACAAACCTGTTCCCTCAGGGGGGCTTCCTCCTCGTCAGAAGCCTTTCCTGGATGAGTAGAGCCTACAAAACAGGATTCTGCAGTGACTAAGAGCACAGGCTTTGGGGGTAGATCCACTAGGACTCCCTCACCAGTTTTGCCACTGACAAGCTGTAAGAATTTCAGTACAGCCTCCTCCACTCTGAGCCTCAGTTTTCTCATCGCTAAAATGTGGATAACTGTGGTGCTACTTACAGGGCGGTTGTGAAGATCAAATGAGATGCTGTGTGTCAAGTCCTTGGCATAGCGCCTGCCACGCACATCCTCCACAGAACTCTCTTATTCTAGCCCCTGAATCTTCTCCCCACAACATTACCACCAGTTTCTTCTTGCTCTCGAATACTGGGTTGGGGTCTGAACTAATCCTGGGCTACTTATAGCCCTGGAAGGTTCAGGGGTGATCTGAGACCCTGCCACACCAGGGTCTTGGCAGGGTCTTGGAGAGCCCACACCAGGGATGGGCTCTCACCCCAGCAGGGCCTGGTGCCTGTGGTCTGGTTGTAGTGCTGGGGTCTCTGCAGCAGCAAGGCCTGCAACTGTCCTCTCAGCTCTGGGCTCAGCGACTCCACCCTGGTCACCTGCTCTGGAGAATGGATAGGGGGTGTCATCTCCCTCCTGAGTGTTCCCTTCCCCCACACACTTCCCCTTCTCCCTCTGCCCAGACCCCTTTCCCTTCTGGGAGTCTAGGAATGCCAGGGCCAGTGAACTTGTTCCTCCACCCTGCTTTGCCATGTCCATGCTGTGACAAGGGTAGACAATCCTAGGAGGGGTGGGGGTGGGTTTTAGAAGATTCCAAGACTTTGGAGGGGAAATCCTGGGGAAAAGGCATGGCTACCCAGGCTCTTCCTGCAAGGGCTCTTCGCCTACCCACGAGCTCCAGGAGGCTCTGAGCTGGGCAGTCCAGCAGTACAAGACCCTCGGCCAGCAGGTTGCGGAGCTTCTGGAGGCTGGGCAGTGCCAGGGTAGGCACGTGGGGGGCACTCCACCGGCCTGCAGCCACTTCCAATTTCTCCTCAAACAGTACCCACCTGCAATGGGGGTGGGTAGACAGTGTTATTGGGGGCATTTCTCCCATGTCCAGGAGCCGGGATGCAGAGGAGCTAGGGAAGGGAAGGCAATGAGGGCATCCTGGGCCCAGTGGTGTGAAGTATCCCCCGACCCCTAGCAATCACCCATCATCTTGGGTCTTAGGGATCTCAAAACTAGACTACAGAAGAGGCTGAGCATCACGGAAGGTAAGACCCTGAAATAAGGGAACACAGCTGGGAAAATCCTAATTTGGGGCAGCCCCACAAGAAGAGCTGGGGGGCATATAGGAGGCTGTAGCTGGGGAAGGGGAAGGATCCCACAGAACTGGCTTGCATCCCACTTACCTGCCTGTCTCTCTCCACTCCAATGCCTGGGGCCAGCCCAGTAGCTCATTCAGCTGGATGAAGAGCAGAGGGTCTTTGGGTACCCCCAGTTCCTTGCTCTCTGTGTCTGAGGGGCCATCAGGGCTGGGGCTGTGGCTGGGACCAAGGTCACTGTCCAGCTCCCCTGCAGAAACATTTGTAGGAGCACTGGAAGCTTCAAACCCCTCCTGGCCGGGCAGCTTCATTTCCGTGAGGCTGGCACAGAATCTCAGAAGCAGTACAGTCCTGGGTTCTGAAGCCAGGGGCCCTCTGGCTGGTTGTGTTTATAATGCATCCCCCACTGCAGCACAACACAAACAGAACAAGGCCTGCTGACGCCAGAGCCTGCCAGTCACCTACTCCCCTACTTGCTTGCCCCACCCCTTGCTGGCATAAAGAGTACTTGTAAGACTAGCCTGGCCTTTCCCAGGCTCTCCAGAAATGCCCAACCTGGGGCCAAAATGTGTATGTGCATTTCCTGTGGTATCAGGTCTGATCCCACTGTGTTTTGTGTAAAGAAATGGAAGTAAATGATTAGCCTGGGTCTGAGGACTGGTACCCCAGATTTTGCTATCCCCTAACTTGTATCAAACAAAAACATCAAACACCCAGGACTGTTTTTGGTGTCACCACCATACCCATTTGGACAAACAGGCACCTAATAAATAATTGGGTCTATGGAAGCCAGACAGGGTAAGGGAGATAGCAGGCAGAGGCTCTTCTCATTAAATGGGATAATGATGGAAGACCTCGTGCCTGAGTCTTTCTTTTCTTTTCCTTCCTTCCTTTCTCTTTTTCTTTCTTTCTTTCTTTTTTTCTTTCTTTCTTTTTGACAGGGTCTCGCTCTGTCACCCAGTCTGGAGTGGAGTGGCACAATTACAGCTCACTGTACCTTTGACCTCCTAGGCTTAAGTGATTCTCCCACCCCAGCCTCCCAGGTAGCTGGGACTATGGGTGCACACCACTACGCTAATAAGTATATATATATTTTTGTTTGAGATGGAGTCTCACTCTGTTGCCCAGACTGGAGTGCAATGGCACCATCTGGGCTCACTGTAACTTCCACCTCCCGGGTTCAAGTGATTCTCCTGCCTCAGCTTCCGAGTAGCTGGAATTACAGACACCAGGCTAATTTTTATATTTTTAGTAGAGACAGGGTTTCACCACATTGGCCAGGCTGGTCTCAAATTCCTGACCTCAGGTAATCTACCTGCCTCAGCCTCCCAAAGTGCTGGGATTACAGGTGTGAGACACTGCGCCTGGCCACCTGGCTAATGAGTCTTAAATTCTTTTGTCCAACAACACCTAAGAATTCCCCAATTTAGCTGTGTCCCTGGGATCTGCCCTTGTAACTCAACCTTCCAGTGAGGATGGAGGAGCCTGCTAGCGGGGTGTGAGTGAAGCAGTTCCTGGAGCTAAATGAGCAAAGGAAAAAAATGTGGTCCATTATTAGTAAATCTTGTTGACTCTATTTTCAGAATATACCCATAATCTAACCACATCTCCCCTCCTCCAGCACTGCTACCCTGATCCAAACAACCATAATTTCTCACCTGAATTATTTCAGTAACTTTCCAGCCTTTTGCAATAATCCCCCTGCTTCCACTCTTCCTTCCTTGCCCAATGCCCATCCTCCACACTGCAGCATACACGTCCTTAAAAAAGGCAGTCGAGCCACATAACTCTTCGGTTCAATACTCTCCTAACACATTCCCATTACTCCTAGAAGAAAAACATCAAACTCCTTGTCATGGCCTGCAAGATTCACAGCCTGGCCCCAGCCCACCTCTCTGACTGCATCTCCCACCAGTTTCCCCTTGCTCACTCCTTTTTAACCACACTGGCCTTCGTCTGTTCTGCAAAACCTGTTCCTGAGGGTCTTTGCAGGATCTATTTTCTCTGCAAGGAAGGATTTTCCCCCAGATCCTCACATGACAATCTGTCACCTACGTCTCATCTCAGACGTTAGCTACTCCAGAAAACCTTCTTTTTCCATCCTGTCCTAAGTTTTTCTCTTGGGTCACTCTCCATCACATTTCTGTTTTAGTTTCTTCCTAGAAGTTACCACTACTAGTAACTGCCTCATTTATGTATTTGTTTATCGTTTATTGCCTGACTCTCTGCACATGCACTCACACGCTGAAATGCACAGTCGGTGGAGCAGGTATCTGTCTTCGCCAGTGCCTGGCACATAGTAGCTCTCAGTATTTGTTCAATGAGAACACACAAAGGACGGGGCTGAGAAAAGAGCCGCGTTTCTCCTGGAGGCCACACGAGGGCGCTGCTTCCCACAGACCAGATTGCTAGGGCCGCTCCCTTAGGCCAAGTGGCCGCGTTTGGGGCGCCGAGATGGCGAGATGGCAGGGAGAGATCCTAGATCCTCTGCGGAATGGCCTGGAGGGATGGGGAGGTGGGGGAAGCACAACAGGATGGGGAAGGGAGTGCCAATCAGGCTCATCTGAATGTAGGTCAGGCAAGCCCCACACACTGAATACTAAGAATTCATCCCCTGAGAAAGGGGACCCAGGCTGGTCCTCTCACCAACCTCATGTCTGGTCCAGGGAGGTCCCTGGGCAGGAATTAGAAGATCATGTCACTATACTTCCAGTTGGAGAGGGGTGCTGAGTCTGAGTGGGGTAGTGGTTTCAGTCCCAGGAGGAATAGAAACTGGCCTAGGGCCTGAATGGACTTGGAACCCCTGTGACCATTCCCTTCAAGAATGTGCCCCAACCTTAGGAACAAGTGACTCAAAGGAGCCTGAGGGGGATGGGAGCAAGGATTTGGCGTGAATACCTCCCCTACATGCACATACACACGTTCCCTTCCCACCCAACTCCTGCCAAAGTTCAGAGTGTGTATCCTTGCCCTTTCTGTGTGGCCCCAGCTACCCTGGCTCCCAGGGCTGCCTGGAGTAGTGGGCCACCATGCTGCCACCCTTCCCAGGTCCCACTTCCACCTCTGGGCCTGAGTTCCCTGAGCTGGGCAGGCTGGTGAGGGTTTGCCTGTGGATACCAGTGGTCTCACAGACAGGGCCCAGGGAAGGTGTGCTGTGTGGGGTGAGCAGCCCTGGGTGTGAGTGCTGGAAAAAACCCTGGCCTAGGAGTTCAAAGACTGGGTTCTTGTCCTGGCTTAGTCACAGACTTATTGGGTGTCCTTGAGCACGACACTTACCTTCTCCAAGACTCCATTTTCTTACATGTAAATGGAGACAATTGGGGTAGATTATTTCCAAGGTTCAAAGCATACTTTCATGCCATACACTGGACCTTAAGGGAGAGGCAGTAGCCCCAGGAATAGTTGCCTGGCTGTAAATCCTGGCTTGCTCACTTTTGGCAAGTGGAAAAGAGGTTTATCTTTGCTGAATCTAAACTTTCTTTCTTTCTTCATTTCTTTTTTTTGACACAGGGTCTTCCTCTGTCAACCAGGTTGGCGTGCAGTAGCAATCATAGCTCGCTGCAACCTCAAACTCCTGAGCTCAAGTGACCCTGCTGCCTCAGTCTCCTAAGTAGCTGGGACTACAAGCATGTGCCACCAAGTCTGGCTAATTTTTAAATATTTTGTAGAGGCAGGGGCTCATATGTTGCCCAAGCTGATCTCAAATTCTTGGATGCAAGCAGTGGCTTCCAACAGTGTTAGGATCACAGGCATGAGCCTCCATGCCCAGCCCCTTACAAGATTTTTAGCACTTTAAAAAAACAAAACAAAATCTTATTGACTGGGCATGATGGTTCACACCTGTAATCCCAGCATGTTGGGAGGCTGAGGCAGGCGGATCACTTGAGCTCAGGAGGTCGAGACCAGCCTGAGCAATATGGCAAAATCCCATCTCTACAAAAAATACAAAAAACTAGCTGGGCATGTTGGCGCATGCATGTGCTCCTAGCCACTCGGGGGGCTGTGGTGGAAGGAGAGCTTGAGCCTGAAAGAGGTTTTGGCTACAGTGAGCCCAGATCGTGCCACTGTACTCCAGCCTGAGCAATAGAGTGAGACCCTGTCTCAAAACAAAACAGAAACAAACTTACTGTTTAACTCATTTTAAAATAAATACATAAATAAATGTAAATTAAAATGATTTATTAATGTGAGTCTAATTATAGATTCACAAGAAATTGCAGATCTCCAGCTTTCATCCAACTTCCTCTGGTGATAACTTCTTTCATTACAGTAGTACAACATAAAAACCAGAACAATGACGTAGGTACTATATTAAATAGACTCAGGCCCTAATCCGATTTCACCAATTTCTATATGCACTCATTTGTGTGTGCCTGTGTGTAGTTTTATAAAATTTTATCACATTTACAGGTATACTTACAACAAACAGGGCAAATTGTTCAATCTCCTTAAGCCCAATTTATAAAACTGGGGTGATAATACTAACTTCCTCAGAGGAATGTTGTGAGAATTAGAGATAATGTGTATAAAGTGCTTAGAGTCTGAACTCGGTGGCTCACACCTGTAATCCCAGCACATTGGGCGGCTGAGGCAGGCAGATCACCTGAGGTCAGGAGTTCAAGACCAGCCTGGCCAACGTGGTGAAACCCCATCTCTACTAAAAATACAAAAATTAACCAGGTGTGGTGGTACATGCCTGTAGTCCCAGCTATTCAGGAGGTTGAGGCAGAAGAATCACTTGACTGAGGAGGTGGAGGTTGCAGTGAGCCAAGATCATGCCACTGCCCTCCAGCCTGGGCGACAAGAACAAGACTCAAAAAAAAAAAGTTCTGGCCAGGCATGGTGGCTCACACCTGCAATCCCAGTACTTTGGGAGGCCGAGGCAGGCGGATCACAAAATCAAGAGATTGAGACCATCCTGGCCAACATGGTGAAACCTTGTCTGTACTAAAAAATACAAAAATTAACTGGGCATGGTGGTGCGCAACTGTAGTTCCAGCTACTTGGGAGGCTGAGGCAAGAGCATTGCTTGAACCCAGGAGGTGGAGGTTGCAGTGAGCTGAGATTGTGCCACTGCACTCCAGCCTGGCACCTGGCGACAGAGCAAGACTCTGTTTAAAAAAAAAAAGTGCTTAGAGCAATGCCTAAAATATAATGAGCACTCAATACATTTAAGCTTTTTTTTTTTTGCTTTTTTTAAGACTGGGTCTTGCTTTGTTGACCAGTCTAGGGTATAGTGTTGCAAACACAGCTTACTGCAGTCTCTACCACTTGGGCTCAAGCTCTTCCCACCACAGCCTCCCAAAGTGCTAGAATTACAAGTGTGAGCCAC